GGCCACTCTAGCTGGTACACCTATGCTGCCACTATGCGGATCTACAAACACTGGGACTTCAGGGTGTCCGATGGGCATGTCTCAACCGGGCAGATGTCGTTCAGCAGCTACCCTGGTATGGAGACTCAAGAGATATCACATGTATTTCCTTTATAGGCATCACAAGACATGCAAAGACTAAAGACACAGTACTAAATCACAGATTTCCTAAAGAGGTGAACTTCTTTTCCTATCCATACATTTTTTTTTTTTTACTGGAAATTACAAACAAAGGCATCCTGGGCTTTTTTTTTTTTAGATTTAATGAACACTCTGTGGTGAAGCCACTGCTACTGTAAGTGATTTGTAAAGTAAATGTTAGCTCAGTGAGAACACAAAAGAAAACCAAACATGATTAAATGCATTCCTTTATTGTTTGGTCAGTGGAGATTTAGTCTGTTTTTTTTGGCTAAAGATTTGTTAAGTGCCTCAGGCTGTAAAAAAGCCTCTTATGGACTCAACTCTATCAGAACCAAAGTGGGTTTAAAGTACTATTTATAGAGAGCAGCAGGCAAAGGTAGTCACTTCACTATATTAAACTGAAGCAATCAAACTACTCGGTCCGCTGTGATGCTTAGTCTTAATAATTCAACATGGTTTCTTCAGTGGTTACAAAAACATTAATGGTGACAAGGTTTAAAGTCAATTTTTGTTCATTTTTACCCCTGGATATTGCATCGTCAAGGGTATTTAGCTGTCATGATATGCTGTTGTCTGTTTTTATTTTATTTGCTGATATATCTATGTTTTTTTGGTAAGCTTTTGCCATAATCAATATTTTGTCTTTATAGTTGTTGTTACAGTCTGCATCTTGTATCTTATGTTCTTTCCTATATGTATTTTATGTATTTTCTTAGATTGTTATTCCTTATGCCACTTTGGTTTATCGATCTTTTGTGTTTTCCCTCCATGTTATCTGTGATTTTATCATGATTCACACTGTAATGTCACTCAACATGGGTGAAAATAGAGTTTTTTAAAGGTAAAGTCCAGTCAGCAAGGAATAATCAATGGATCATTATACCGTACCATACCATACCAACTTTATTTATGAAGCACTTTATGCACCGGACAGGACCAAAGTGCTGTACACAATCATAAAATACAATGCAATTATAAAATAGAAAAGATCGAGTATAAAATACATATTAGTATACAAACAGAATAAAACAAAGTGAAACCTCTCAAATTGTGCCAAAAGCTAAGGAAAAAAGACGAGTCTTAAGAAGGTACTTAAAAATAGCAACAGAAGAGGCCTGTCTTATGCTCAGAGGCAGATTGTTCCATAGCTTAGGAGCAGCCACAGAAAAAGCACGGTCCCCTCTGAGCTTGCATTTTGTCTATGGGACCCTCAGAATCATTATACCTAAAACTAATACGTTCACTGTAATTTCATGAATTTAGCATTAATCAGTAAGAAAATAAAAAACAATAATTTTCGTTGTGATCACTGAGTCTGGGAGCGGCCTTTTTTGCCTAAATTTAGTAACACCTCACTCCTGACATCCTCCAGCAGTGACGTCACGGTGTGGTATGCCTAGCGCCATTATCCCCTCTTTACAGGCAAAATCAATGGGAACTACTAGACACATCTGCAATAAACAACATTTATTGAAGATTTACAGAGGACTTCACCATTGAAATCCGCAGGAGCTTTAGTTAAACTGACAATGGTAGATGGATGTTGTAACACATGGGGTAAAAGTGGGAAAAAAAAGAGTTATTTCACCTTTCCGATTCATGATCCTCCACGGAAACATAATATGTAGCCAAAATATATGGAAGAAGAATGTTTTCAAGATCATTTGAATGATAGCGCGTAGTGACAAACACCAGATACAGCACTGGGACTTGATCAACAGCCGATACCGCGCCGTGACGTGACGTCACAAACCTGTAGGCAGCACTAGTGTACTTTGACAAACATGGATGCCTCCAGTAAAGCACATTCAAATCAAATTTACTCTTAATGAAAACACTTATTTATTGAACTGTATGTAATAATTTTATATTTAAAGTACTTTCAGAAGTTTGAATTCTGAATATGACTGGACTTTATTAAAGGACTTCCTTTAATAAAAAAAACAAAAACTGAAGGAGTTGCATAAGAACTAAATGACAATGGGAAACGAGACAGTATAACAAAAGTATCTAAGGAAGAACAATGAGAACCAGTAAACACATCATATACTCAGGAACAGATGGAGAATGACATTAAATACGATTTAATGGGAGATTATGAAGCAGGAGCCTGAGAAACTGAGACTAATACATTAAGATGCTGCTAAAAAAAATGCAAAAAAAACAACAACTGTCAAACCAAGATGAAAATCTAGTATGACACCGAACAGAAATTAACTCGTAATGGCCAAAGGTCTCCCTATCTCAGTTTTTCTGCTCTGTACTCTCCCTCATCTTTTTTGCACCTCCTCTGTATTTAAGCTGCCGGATTTTCATTGTTCCTTGTTGGTTTCTTGTGTTTATCCTGCATTGACTTGAGCTCTCATGTCTCTACGTTTTTCACCATCAGTCCTTCACACCACACCATGTTTTGGTCCTTGTTTAACCTCACAGTAACCAACATTAACTCCATTGTCATCTTGCAACTTCAGGCTAAATCATTTAAACCATCTTAAATGTTCCCATGAAACAATAAAGAAAAAAAAAACTCACAGCCTTATTAAGATTAAGCTCAGTACAAAGGAATTTTGATGTTTTACATTATGGAAGAACTATAAATTAGGTTTCATGTTAAAAAACTTCAGTTTAACCAGATTTGAAACCAGACTTGTATGTTAACATTCCAGTAGACCTTACATGCCAAAAAAAAAAAATAGAAAACTTGATCTGTTTTTGTTTTTCTCATCTCTCACTGGCAACCTTAGATCATAATGTCCTTCCATACCTCCGCCAGGTTTCCTCATGTCTCTGGATGACTTCTACCTGCTTGGGAGCGGCCTGCTGATGACTCAGACCTCTATCGGCATCTTCAACGCCCCGCTGTTCTCTCGACTCAACCCTCACTGCCTGCTGGCTTGGCAGAGAGTCCGCCTGGCTAACGGTCTGGCACACACGGGAGAGGAGTGGGCGCAGATTTTCTCTAAATATAACTCAGGTGGGATGTGAGCCAAAGCTAGAGAAAACTATAGGATCTAAACACATAAATGTCATCTTTGGAGCCTCAGTCTACAGGAAAACAGATAAAAGTAGAGAATTTACCAGACAACAGCTGGATTTGTTGATTTGGAAGCTGATTTCATCTTCTGCATCATGTTGCTATGGGACTAAAGCAAACCAGACTCATCAGTCAGCAGCTTTCCCTCATCATTCAGTTATTTATTAGTTTTAAACCTGAGACTCTATCTTTGAATTCTATTTTTTTTTCTCTTAATTCTTTTTGTGAGTTTGCAACTTATGAGCCAAAAACTTCCCACCTTTTTTATCTTCTCCATCCTAATCCCTCAGGTGCAGACATGACTGTGCTTGTCAGCTTTGCTGTGAACGTCTTATGGAAGAAGCAATCAAAATAGCTGCTTTGATTTCTTTATCGTTTTAGTTTTTCTGGTAAAAACTAAATATACACAAATCTTCATCTTTATAAGGGTTTTACTACTTCTATAGGAATGGTTACAGTTACAGATTTCACCTGAATTATTGAGCTAATTTACATCTTTTGGAAAGGACAGCTTCAGTCATGTAAAAGTTTGTCAGAGACACACACATATTGGGCGTATTATTTAGGGACCAAGGTATTCAACTATTATTAGAAACTCGATTACTGTCAGTCTTGGTTCTGTTATGTTTTCTTTTGAGTAATCAGTTTTACTTTGCTCCATGTTTTCTAGTTTTAGTGGTTTCATTCTTATTTTATTGTGTTTTCTGGTTATTTTTCCATTTTCAGGTTTTTATTTGTTGCCCTCTGCTGCCCTCTTGTGTGCTCTTTTTTCCCTAGCTCCTTTCCTGTCTGCTCTGTTCACACCTGCTCCCAATCTGCTCATTAGTCCTCTCTTTGTTCAGTCTCCCATAAATAAACTCTTTGTGCAGTTCCTCAGTGCTGGTTCCTCGTCTAACTTCCTCCAACTCCGTTTCTCTGAGTCTTCCTCGTCGAGATTGTTTTTTCCCCTGATGTCTCCATGGTTTCTGTTTTTTTTCACTTTTTTCACGTTTGATTTTTTTGGATTCCTGCCTCTGTTGTCATTAAATCATCAAGAAAGTCACCTCTGCCTCCCTGCCTCTGCATTTGGGTCCTCAAACCACAACCAAATCCTGACAATTGCTCCATTCATCATGATACTCTTTTTGCATGTGTGCCTTCTTGAACGTGCAATAAATTTGAAATAATTCTCATTGGTCAACTGGGATGGAAGTAACATTATTTATAAACAATCAGTCCTCTGCATGAGAAGTTCATGAACAAGAATAATATAATATAGACCAAACATTTCTCATTTTTGTTTGTAAAAACTGTAAATAATCTGGCATCTGTTTCCTTCCACTTCAAAGGTTTATGTTTCATTAATCTGGTGTTTAGGTACATATAACAGCCAGTATATGGTGGTGGACCTGAACAAGGTGTCTCTGCGTCACAGTATCAGCAGTGGAGCTCTGACTGTTCTGGAGCAGATCCCGGGGAAAGTGGTCCACTCTGATCAGACTCAAGCTTTACGAAGAGGTAGGAAAAATATCCATCTGTGTCCGGCTACGGCGTCCAGATAGATTAATGCTGCATCTTTCATTTGGCAGGTTACTGGCCGTCTTACAACATACCTTTTCACGATGAGATCTACAACCTCAGTGGGTACAGCATCATGTGGAGGCGATATGGAGAAGATTTCTCCTATGACCTCTGTCCTCGAGCTAAGATCCTCCGCAGGGACCAGGCCAAGGTGTCCGACCTCGGCTCCCTCAAGCACATGATGAGATACAACAGTAGGTGTTTCAGCAACAGCTTAGTTCATATTCCTGACTTACCGCTCTCTTTTTTTGGGTAACCCTGCTTTGAATTAGCCAAAGGCATGTCAGCAAAAAATATTTAAGTGAAAACTGAGCATCAGAAGTGAACCTGGGATGGTTGTTGGCATTAAACACAAATGATCAGGACTGACCATTTCATGCCCATCCCTTAATGGTACCATTAGACCCATATTATAATGGCTGCTTCGTCTCACAAACTTCAGGTTATCTCTGGTTTCTCCACACTAGATTTCAATGAAGCAGGGAAGCTTAATGATGTGGTGAAATGAGGGGTTCTAATCCTGGTTCTGCAGCTATAAAAAATAAAAATAAAAAAGCTGTCATATGTGGACGCACTGTATATACTCTATAGATCCCATGCACCTTTTTCTTCCCTTTGCACCTTCTTCCTCTTTGACTATTTGAGCTGATGTATGACTAAATGTATCCACTGTGAGATCAATAAAGCCAATGAATCAATCAATAAAACATAAGCAAGAGTTTCAAAGGATCTTTCTAAATCTTTGCTGAAACCATGCGATGAAAATTTAGAGTCGCTCTCAAGGCAAAATGCAGGTCCAGGTGGGTACTATAATTTATGGCTGCAATTAATTATTTTGCAAATCAATTAATCTGTTGATTTTTTTTTAAATAATTGTAGAGCTAAAGGTTCCTTAGACCAGGTGAAACTAAAACTATTCCCCTAAAGGAGTTCTTGTTAGAGCATATTGATGGATGAAAACATTTTTTTAATCTTAAATGCAAAATGATTTATAACTTTTTTACAATCTTGGTATAATTGCTGCTCTAAGTGGGTCGCTCTGTCTGCTAAAAGCATGTTTTAGAGTCTCTAAACATTTAATCGATTACTAAATTTGTTGACGATTATTTCAATAATCGATTCATCGCGATTAATCTCATTGTTTCAGCCCTAATGTAAATGTATAGACTGAAAGAAAATATTAACAGAACACTGAATATTTTACTTAAAAGCAAACAGAATTAATGGTTCTATTTCAGACTATAAGAGAGACCCCTACGCCAAGGGCCATCCCTGTAAAACCATCTGTTGCCGTAACGACCTGAGACCAAGGAGGCCACGTCCAGGAGGTTGCTATGACACCAAGGTCAGGAAACATCTTTGAACTGTGGTCAAAACAGATTTTTAAACAGGCACGTGGACAGCTTTGTTCCCTCTCTGATGGGCTGTTGTGCTGATAATGCATTGTTATGAGCACGTTGCAACAGATGAAAGGAAAATGCTCATGTGCAGACTGTATGATATGAACACTCGGTCAGGCGCAGAAATTAAAAACCCAACAGAAACTTCCTCTAAAAAGCTGTACTTTGTTTCCTGCCCTCCCCTCTGTGTGGAGCTGCAGGTGACCGACTACCAGATGGCCTTACAGCTGTCTGCCGAGGCCATAAACGGTCCCACAACGCAGGGGGGCCTGCGTCCGTTCTCATGGCGCTCCTTCAACCTCACGACTCATCAGGGTCTCCCACACACCTACGTGTTTCCTTTCATCACCATGACGCCCACACTGCGCCGGCCCTGAGACACGGCCTCCCCTCCACCTGTTATTACTGAGCTATAACTATAATCCAGGGTGGATGTTGATGATTTTATTAGATTGTTGACAAAAAAAAAATTTTCTAACATTTTTCTTTTATTTAACTGTTATTTTCTAAGTCTTTTCAGAGATAGGAGCTTCACATGAAGCTGTTTTTAATGTGAAATTAATTATTAATAATTTATTATAAATGTTATATTGTTTTGTCCTGACTCGTGTTCGGTTGTGTCTGTGTATATCTTCCTTTCTGTGCCTCTGATTCCCCTTGGGGTACAAACTGCTCCACCGTGCAAAAAAGCATTACTTTTAACAAACCTGAATGAAATCTGTTTGTTTACATAAGTGTTATGAATATGTGTTGCACTGAGTTTTTTCCCCCCAGGCTTCTGCTGTCAGTTGTTACGGAGGTTTATGTTATCAGAAAACTGCAGACCCTCATGTCAGGTAAATAAACAGACACCTCAGAGTGTGAAGGGTCTTCATAGAGGAACTGTTTTCCTTTTTAAATATATGCAGAGATAGAAACCAAAAACTGTACACTGATTTGTTGAAGTTTTTGAGCTGACACTTGAAAATGGCAGATAAGTTAGTTTTACTATGCTTTGCTAAAGAATACACTCTTTCTAAATGTTTTCCTTTCAGTCAAGTTTGCTAATTTTTTTTTTTTTAATTCCTTTACGATTTCCCAACACAATCTTAGTCCCTCAGGTGCTACATGACTGTGCTTGTTAGTGTTGCTGTGAAATTCTAAGCTAAAAGCACTCACAGCTGCTTTTCATCAGATATTTACATAAAAATTGCTTAATTTTCATCTTTTTTCTGGTGTAGAGTGAAAAATATATTGAATAAAGGAAATTACATGTTGAGGAAAGATTAAATCTGCTTTTTTGCTTTTAATTATTGAGCTAGTTTAAGCATAAAACCACTCAATGTTCCATTAGGTTATTATCACAATCTTTGATTTATTTTACCAAGATTTTATCATATAAAACACAATGAATCAGTGATGGATTGTGACATGGAGGGAAAGTTATCTTTTTTTTTAACATTCTTGCACAAATACAAAAAAGAAAAGAAAAAAAAACTTGACATACATTTGTATTACACATTGACCGTCTCCCTATCATGTGTATCTGGGTAATAATTTTTATGATTTTGTGTGATGATCCTGATGTTTTTATACCTTTAATGAATTTGTTCAGATGGTTTTACAATCGAAAAGCACTTTGAATTGCCTTTCCACTGAAATGTAAAATACAAATACATTTTGACTAACTTACTTTTACTCTGTCACATTACATCTGTTCATCAGCTTTTTACATCTTCGGCCTGAAAATGTAAAAATATTGAAATAGTGGCCTCTCATTAAGCCCACGTTTTCTGCATTAGGCTCTATACAGGTTTTTGATAATTTTAATATCTAGATATTATATTTTCATGAGCTGTAAGTGGAACGTTATAATTAACAGAAATATATATATATATATATATATAAAATGCAAAAATATGAGATAGTATCTTATTATTATGAGAAAGAGTGTCATAATTATGAGAAAAAAATAATGTGATACCATCTTTAATTATGAGATAGCTAAGTCATAATTATAAAAATGTATCTTATAATATTGGGATTAACTTTATTGTCCAAAGGTAATTTGATTTGGGTACAGACTCTGGCTGCTACATAGTCCAAACTACGTGTCACACTGCATTCACACATAAAAACACTGCTATAGCAGTTCCATTATAAGACAATAAATAAATACATAAGGAAGCATGTTACTTAACATTCACAATAAAATATTTGAAAGAAAAAAAATGTATAAAAACCCTTCTTTAAAAAATATTTTATATGAGATAACGAAAAACATTTAAAAAAAAGCAGTCAGTTTAGTTTGTCATTGCCTATTCCACAATTTACTTGCTTGATGTTGTTTATTGGCTTAATGGAAAGTGGAACAAATATTAAAAATGTAGATATTGAGATACTGTCTCATCGTTATGAGAAAATATCTCATAATTATGACAAACCAAGTAACAGTTGTTATACATTCGCTTTTTTTCCCCCCATGAGGTTGGCAGAAATGTACGGAAGAGGATTAGGGCCACTTGAAAAAAATTAATTTAAAAAAGAGATTTTTAGACTTTATCTCAGTATAATATGAGAAAAAAGTTTTTTCTCAGAATTCTGACTTTAATCTCAAAATACTGACTTTTTCCCATATTATACTGAAATAAAATTTAAAAATCAGTTACCTTTTTTCCATTTTTTTTTGTGGCACTAATCCTCTTCCGTATAAATGTGCTTCCAAAGTTAAATAAACAAGTTAAAGAAAATAAAAAAGTGGAAAGCAAAATATTAGGGCTCTTATTTTGAAAGCGCCTTTCGGATGTCAAATGTTTCTTAATGATGTTTGAGCTCGTGCAGCTTAGAGGCGGGGCCTGCTCTGCGGTTGGCGGACAGAAGAAACGGGCTCCTTCGTCCAAACGTCTTTCGTCTCGTGGTTTCCTAGAAATGGCAACGACCGCAGAAGAGCTGCGGGAACAGGCGGACGTAGCTGCGCCCTCCACCCACCTCAACAACAATAACAACAACAATAACAATAATAACAAAGACACAGAGGCGGGGGAGAGCACGACCTCCGCCACCACCTCCGCCGCATCCTCCGAACCAGGCGGGACGGCGTCGCAGAACGTCGGAAACGGCTCGGTCATTCAACCCAACGGGGGGAGTAACGGCAAGTGGGTCCGGCTGAACGTCGGGGGGACGGTGTTCCTCACTACGCGGCAGACTCTGCTCAAGGAGCAAACTTCGTTCCTGTATCGGCTCTGCCAGCAGCAGGACCTGCACTCTGACACGGTGGGTTCAGCCAGGAAGTACTAATCCTCTGGGAGATCCTAGAAAACAATAGTTAGACTTAACAATGCAGAAATAAAGAGAGAAAAAATACCTGGAAAGTTCCATGACCTCCATCAAAGGTGGCAGAGGTGATGTGTTCAAATCCTGTGGGACATTTACACTATAGGAAGATTTATATAGGGATGTAACGGTACACTAAATTCACGGTTTGTTATGTACCACAATAGTTAAAAGTAAGGGGGAAAAAAGTGTGTTTTATTAACAAATTTACTCAAATTTAAATCACAGCCGTTTGTTTTGATTGGCATATTTGAATGATAAAAAAATCAGGCCTATAAATATTTATATTTTTAATCCTGCTGCTTGCTTTTTACACTTTTCGATGAAAAATATTTCACATGATGTGAAATATATTTTTCAGATGTCACTTTAGATGTAAATCAGATCTAAAGTGACATCTGAATTTCAAGAGTGGAATTTAATGGAAACAGCTTCTTCTTGTCAGTTCATTCAATTGTCATGAAAACTCAGCATCACAGCTCTTTTGCTCAGATTGCCTGATTAACAAATGCATAGATAAATAACATTCACCTGAAGGTAACCTATAAAAATGCTCTTTTGTGAGAGAGAAAACTACATACAGTAGATAAAAATTAACGTTGCAGGCGGTTATTTATTTAGCAAATTTAAAAAAAAATGTTGAGTGAGGTCCTCCTTAAAATAAACCTTCATATGTTTTATCGTGTTGTCATTTTCATAGATTAAAACAGAAAAAATCTAATTGTGAAGAAAAAAGAAGGGACAGGATGCAGTTTACGTCGTGTTAATGGATCGGGTTGAGGGTTAAACATCAAGGGGTCAGATTTTGATTTAAATGGAAGATATCTGCAGGTTTTTGCAAATTGACCCCTTGCACGACTCAGACCGTGCAAAATAATGTACCATGTAAAGATTCACATTTAATTATGTCCGGTGGCATTCAAAAACTTAGTGAAACAATTAACTGCTAAATAAATGAGTCCTGCATCCAACAGGGTCATGCCGAACCGAGATTAATGTATGGTTCAGTTGGTCACAAATCGCATACCGTTACAGCCCTTTTAATTACCTAACTGGACTAATGTTTACACTTGGGCTGAAGAAACTAATCGGATTAATCTATTACTGAAATAATCAACTAATTTAGAATAAGTTTAATTATTAAATGGAGTATAGAAACTGTAATATATGCCTTTAGCTGACAGAGCGACCCACTTAGAGCAGTAATTTTATCAAAACAGTAACAAAAATATGTAAACATTTTGCATTTAAGATACAAAAAAAACCCATTTACATCTGTCAGTATGCTCTATCCAGAACTCATCAAGTAGAAAAGTTTTAGTTTCACCTGGTTAAATTTTTTTAGAAACTCTTCTTTAAGTCTATTAATCGAAAAAATAATCGACAGATTAATAGATTTGCAAAATAATTGTTAGTTGCAGCCCTACTTTACACTGCTTGTAGTTAGCTTTCCGATTTCTGTGTTGCACCAAGTTTTAATTTACAAGCACACAAAATTTTAGGTTAAAAGTTGGAAAAGCTCAATTTAAAAGTACTATCGGTGTTGATTTTTTGTTTTTATATCTCTTATTGGTGTAAAATGACTTTGAAAACACAGTTGGGTAACTGGGGTTGTGATTTTATAGGATATTAAGTTTTTAAAGCGTTCCAAAATATGATAAATAAATAGAAGCCGCCAGCCTGCTAGAGTGGATTACATTGCAGGATGCACAAGAATGGTGCCAGCCAGCTGCTATGATTAAATATTGTAAATTTCATGAGTGCTTTGAACAGATTCCACTTAGATTCTGAGTTGGATTTAAGATGCAAAGCCATTTAAACTACTTGATACAGAGTTTAAGTCAAATGAAACCCAAGTAAGGATGGATTCTACTAGGAAATTATGATGATGGATCATATTCTGAACAGCTTATTTTCCTGTTTGAATTTCTTTTTCTTAAATGCTGTTCCTCTTGTAACAGCTTGAAATATTATGGGATTTGCCAGTACAGTACCTATGCATTCAATGTGAACACTTTAGGCACCGAAAAAACTGATGATGTCTTACTTTGTCTTTAAAACTGCAGCAGAGATAACTGGATTACCTGCTAAATCGGGGTGATAGAGATTTGTTGTCATTTTCTTTGAAGATTTCATGAATCCTGCTGCATGAGCACCCAAGCTTTTATTCACCATGTGTTGCATTACTGATGGATCTGGGACTAAAAATCAGCAAAGTGGTCTAATAACAGCATTGCCTAGGCTGGGTGGATGGATGGTTTTCTTATCATGTTAAGACATCTCAAATGGAAAGTGAAACAGACCACTTGACATACTTTCTGCTTAATTTGTTTAACATCATTTTACTATTAACCGTCAAATATAAGAAACTGGATAAATAAAACACGATGCAGATTAAACTATTCAGAAAATCAGCACTTTTAAAGTGCCATGCATGCTACAAAACATGAGTGACTCCTGTTTTTAACTTGCTGTTGACAAGTAATGAAACTGAAATCTGATCTGTTATAGCTATATTATTTATTTAGCTGCTTTTGAAGCCTTGAAAAGCGTGCTCGTTTCTGCATTGGTATTTTGCTGCAGCGCTGCCTTGCCGCAGATATGCACCGCCGTATCTTCACTGTAGGTGTTCTGTAGGCTGATGCGGGCTCTTTCTGCCCTCTCTTTGTGTTGGTGCATGTGCTTTGGTTTGTGGTGTGAAAGCAGCTTGGCTCAGATGGATTAACACGTGCTGCCTCTTCTTGGAGGGAGCTGCACAGTTGGTAGCTGTACAGCTGGCATCTTACGGGGACACTGAGAGGGAAAGCTATTATGTGTCTGCCAGTCACATGCAACCTCAACACGCTGTAGGGACAGTAGAGTCTCATAAATGATGCAGATTTCCTTTATGCTGCAGTCGTTTGATGTAGATGTGTGGTACTCAGAACGAAGGCTCTGAGAGCGTTCTGTGCAGCCTCCACACGTTTTAATAAACTGTTGTTTTTTTTTGTAGAGTTAGATCATTTAACAATGGTAAGGAATATAAACTGCTTGCTGGGGATATTATTGATTAAATACCCGGTGCATTGCAGTGAAACTTAAAGTTGCACTGCAGCAGCAGCAAAAAGAGACAACTGGCGACATTTAGAGAGCATCTTTAAACAAATGAGCATCCTAAGCCCATGTAGCATTTGGAGGTTTTACATACAAGCAGGGTTAATGTTTCAGTCTGCCATGTTGAACTTAGAGCCATAGTTCTTAGGTTTTCTTTCTCTTAACTGTTAGAGTGGGGTGGAAACATCATTGAGGACATAACCAGCTGCAGAACAGTTTGCATTGAAGTTGCTGTTGATTGAAACACTTTGGCTAAATGTCAGGATGTCGTTCAAGTTGTTTTTTCCCATTATTGTAAGGATATTTGCTGTAAATCGATTTACTAAAAGATCAGAACTGATGTTCTTGGCTTTCATGGGAAATGGTGTGGTACATGGTGAAACACGTCAGGAGGATTGCTTAATGAAGTGCATTCCAGTCTTCAATATGTGCAATATTATTGTCAGGAAAAACTAGCTGTGAGGTAATGTTTTGCAGGTTATTTTACATGCCTAAACAGCAACATTTCGATGGAATCTTACTGCTCTTCTGTCTACAGCCTACTTAGATCATAGT